AAAGAAAATGCAAGAAAACACTTCATGATGACAAGGTTATCATAATAAATAGTGTGAAGGATCCCAGAAAACCACCAAAGATCTACAGAGAGATGTGGCTCCTTGAAGTTGGCAGAACTACCAGAAAGCTGGTAAGGAAACAATTATTGACTGCTGCTATGAAAAAAAAAAAAATGGCTGTGGTGGGCACTCGATCATTAGGGATGGATGAGAGATGAATGGAGAAAAGTTACATTTTCAGATGAGACACATTTTGAAATACATGAGTACAGATCAGTGGTAATGAGACAGAGCGAATCTCCTCGAAATGGATGCATTCAACAAATGCCAAAACATCCACCTAAGATGTTTTTGGGTAGTTTTACTGCTAAAGGCCCTGGATGGATTGTTATTGTTGAGAGAATGATGAACAATGACAAATACAGTCATATCCCACCTTATGTCATTAACTGGTTCCAAGAGCCGTGACGTAACTCGGTTTTTGACGACATAAACCGGGCATAATGCCTTAAAATGATAAACACTGTAAAACTAGCGTAAATGACTCATGAAAGAATATAACTACATGTATTGCTAAACCTTAACCCTTAAATGGTCCAAATGTATATATACGTTCACCTGCGCAGCGCCCTGAATATTTTGAGAAAAAATAAACAATCGGTTTTTTTATAGGAAAAAAGAGCATGTGGTACCCAGGCATCCCCAATTTTTTTCATGTGACACACACTGAGTGCGCACACCCATTCTCTCAAGTCTAGGCGACTCAGGCTTATCATGCCAATGTTGAATAAATGACAAATGAAACGTATATATACGTTTGGACCGTTTAAGGGTTAAAGAACACTAAAAACACATTTTAGTCATATTTTTTAAAGAATGAACACAATTAAAAAAATATTATGTAGGTGACATTGCTGAGTGACGTAATGATGTTTGCTGAACTTAAATTTACTCTAAAAAAGTGGCGTAAAGGTGAATCTGACACAGGACAAAATGATGTAAAGCGGGGTATGACTATACACGTATAAGGAAATCTTGGCAACTCATTTTGCTTCCCATTGTCAATAGAGACTTTTCTGAAGAAGGCATTTTCCAGCAGGATTTTGCTCCATGCCACATTTCCAGAAAAATGCTGACATTCTTCAAAGAACTTGCTAAAATGTGTTCAACATCGGTAGATTCTATGCCAAAGCATGTAGCAATGCTTATAAAAGCAAAGCATAGTCATATCTCTTATTAAATAAATTATCTGTCATATCATTACCGTGCATTTTTCAAACAGTAAACATTAATTTTATCACTGCCCCAGTTAATATGCATGCTACAGTATGTCTCCATCAAGCTCATTTCACTTTATTCCTTCCTCAACACCAAAGAACTACAGTGGAACCTCGGCACTCGAACTTAATTTGTTCCAGAAGGCTGTTCGAGAGCTGATTTCTCCGAGTACAGAACAAATTCTTCCTAACCAATTTTCGTTTTGGTTGGCTGTTATCGCTAACCCTCTTAGACCCCATGGTGATTTATACAATAATATAAAAAAAACAAAAAAATGGGAAGAAACACGAAATACTTTACAGCGAAGTTCTGGCAGGTTTTGTTTTTCTGGTCGAGTGCTGAGCAAACAGTCGACTATTGAGTGATTTGTTTACCGAACAAAGCGTTCGAGTGCAGAGCTGTTTGGGTACCAAGGTTCCACTGTACAGTACTGCATATGTTTGCTTTAACTTATACAAAATTATACATGGTTGATATTTTTTACGTGTAATTATACATAGTTGATATTTTTTACATATACATACTGCAGAATAAAATTATTTTTTTTTATTATCACACTGGCCGATTCCCACCAAGGCAGGGTGGCCCGAAAAAGAAAAACTTTCACCATCATTCACTCCATCACTGTCTTGCCAGAAGGGTGCTTTACACTACAGTTTTTAAACTGCAACATTAACACCCCTCCTTCAGAGTGCAGGCACTGTACTTCCCATCTCCAGGACTCAAGTCCGGCCTGCCGGTTTCCCTGAATCCCTTCATAAATGTTACTTTGCTCACACTCCAACAGCACGTCAAGTATTAAAAACCATTTGTCTCCATTCACTCCTATCAAACACGCTCACGCATGCCTGCTGGAAGTCCAAGCCCCTCGCACACAAAACCTCCTTTACCCCCTCCCTCCAACCCTTCCTAGGCCGACCCCTACCCCGCCTTCCTTCCACTACAGACTGATACACTCTTGAAGTCATTCTGTTTCGCTCCATTCTCTCTACATGTCCGAACCACCTCAACAACCCTTCCTCAGCCCTCTGGACAACAGAGAAATTAAAGATATTCAACTCTTCCTTTAACAACATTACAGTGGACCCCCGCCTTACGATATTAATCCGTTCCTGAGAGCTCACAATAAGCCGAAATTATCGTTAGCCGAATTAATTTTCCCCATAAGAAATAATGGAAATCAAATTAATCTGTTCCTGACACCTCAAAATATGAAAAAAAAAAAAATTACCATATGAAATATTAATTTTAATACACACAAACTGAAGAAGACATGCACAATTACAACTCTACTAAGAATAAGATACATGACACTTACCTTTATTGAAGATCTGGTGATGATTGATGGGATGGGAGGAGGGGAGTGTGTGGAAGTTATTGTTTAGAAGGGGAATCCCCTTTCATTAGGACTTGAGGTAGCAAGTCCTTTCCTGGGGTTACTTCCCTTCTTCTTTTAATGCCACTAGGACCAGCTTCAGTCACTGGACCTCTGTCGCACAACAAATCTGTCCATAGAGCTCTGTACCTTCCATTCCTTTAAGACTTTCCTAAAATGGGCCATAACATTGTCATTGTACAGGTTGCCAGCACGGCTTGCAGTAGCTGTGTCAGGGTGATTTTCATCCGTAAAGATTTGCAGTTCAACCCACTTTGCATACATTTCCTTAATCTCTCTTTTTCAATTCCATACTAATTCTCGCCCTTTTTACCACAGGGATGGCACTAGAAGCTTTCTTGGGGTCCATGGTGACTTATTTTGCAGTTACAAGTACTAAAAACACTGGGATAATGTGAAATGTACCGAATGTATGCGTAGATGCGACCGCACTGGCTGGCTTGTAAACACTGGCGCTGAGGCCACACATGGGACGCGTCCCGGACAAATCACGTAAGGCGAGCCTTTTATCGTGAGGAGAGGCAAAATTTTTGCGTTCAAATGCTTTGTATGGCAGATTTAACGTAACGCGATGCGTTCGTAAGGCGGGGTCCACTGTACTGATATAAAGTAGAACCTCGGTTGTCAAAAACACTAGTTGTCAAACAAAACAGTTTTCGAACAGATCAGTTTTCGAAAAGTATAGTAGGTCCTGGCTGTAAGACATTTTGGCTTATGGCATTCAGCTAATATGGACATTTCAAATTATGACCAAAACTCGCTATATGGTGTTCTGCTTTCCGGTGATGTCCACTTTCTGGCAGTAGCCTGGAACCTAACCTGCCATATAAGTGGGGCCCTACTGTATGTTCTGGTTTTCGTATGTGCTCTGGTTGCCAACAGACAATGCTCCAAGGGTCTAAGAATTTAAAAAAAAAAAAAAAAAACTTAAGAAATGATAAAGAATCTTTTTCTGAAGGTAATGAAATCAAAAGTACAAAATTTGATAGAAAACTTATGGAATTATGCTACTGTGAAGTTAGTGGTCCCTGCAATATTTACGAATTGGCAATTTCACCCATTTTGAGCCCTACTTTGGGTCAATTTCATTGTTCCAGTTGACCAAACTCATAGCCATTTCACTAGAACTCCTTTTATTCTATCGAATGGGTATAAAAAACTGCCCATTTACCTATTTCAACTACCCAATTAAGTGCTCTGAAATTACAAATTTAGCCAATTTCACACAAAATTCAAGAAAGGCCAATTTCAAAATCAGATCCAGAATAAAGAATGCAGACATTCCTAGCACTAAAATAACTATTTATCTGTTCATCAGTCACATCTCCAGGCCCCTCATATATTATGCTTGCCTTTCATTTTGAATTTTTTTGCTCCAGGTATACACAAAAAATATAAGATTTACTGTTATTCAGACTACTGCACAATTGTAATAATTGTATAAATATTATCAGCACATTTGTGAATGCATATAGGACCCACCAGCATACATGTATTGGACGAGTGACGTGATTTGTTTATTCTTGAACGTCGGCAATAATCGAACATTTCCACTACTTTGAGCTAAATTTCAAGCTACTTTTTGTCTTTAGACCATTCAAAATCATCTCTATTTATGTAATATATCTTCCATTCTATCAAATGAGACCATGAAAATGAGAATACACCCATAAATACCATACAAAAATACACTGCAAAGTCACTGCTTTAAACCAAAAACACGGTCGCAGTTTTTTCTCATTATGCACTGTGTGCTGCAGGATTTTTTATACTGTGTAAACTGACCATGCAGATCCATTCTTTTATGTGTAGGCCTACCAGCTTTCTCCCGCAAGATTTGAAGCCGCTAGAATTTTCCCATTAGCTCTCCTCTGACAGGTAAGAGGCAGTTAAATTTTCATTTACTTTACAGTATTTCAGTTAAATTTTCATTCAGTATTCATTTTTAGTTTCCCTGTGCTGTATAATTTTATACATTGTTTTATGTAGTTAGTACATTATTATTAATAGATTATTATACTGTAATTTGGGGTCTGAAGTGGATTAAGTCTATTTACATTATGCTTTGTGAGAAAAATTGCTTTGGTTGTCATCCATTTTGGTCGTTGAACCAACATCTGGAAGGAATTAAGTTCAACAACTAAGGTTCCACTGTACATACACTGTACTCTAATTATGACAGAATTATTGTACTTTTTTTTTAAGTTATACAATATAATATTTTATCACAAGAATACAAGTAGCTATCATCAAAGATTCGTGTTGTCATCACTTATTTGCTGTTAACTAACAACCCTAGTCATTACAAAGTGTTGTTGTCACTTACCAATGATCTGAGGTGTGGAGGCTTTTCTATAGGAAGAACACCATCTGGATCCAATACATTTACTGAATTACATTCTTTGCTATTGACTTCAACAATTTGCAATTTCTTACCACCCTGTTTCTTTTTATCGTTATCTAAATTTGTTGTATTACCACATACGTTATCCTTTTGATTCTGATGCATGACATTATTTGTTTCCTGTTTTTGTGATTCATTCATGAGAGGTTGTTTGCTTACTGTACTTTCTTGTTTAGCTTTTATTTTGCAGTCATATTTTACTGACATTTCTGTTCTCTCACATTTCACATCAGCTGCACACTGTAAATTTTCTAGCTCCTTTTTGGCTTCTTTATTCCATGGCTCTAACTCTAAGACCTGTGAATATTACAAAAATTTAATGGCTAAAGAATTTTTTATTGCTAAATAAAATCAATGAATACAGACTCCTTAAAAAGCAATCACTAAACTGTATTTTTAACCTCACCAGCCATCTCCCTTCATGTAGGGTGACCCTAAAAAACAGGAAAAAACAATCACTTTCATTCACTCAAATGCTGTCTTGCCAGAAGTTTGCTGACCTCACATTTCAAATGACTTTTCAAACTGCAATATCACTTATCCCTCCCTTCAAATTTTTAGTTCCATATTCTGAGTGAGAATATTCTATCACGTGCTATACTATAAAGCAGTGTCTTCAACACAAAAATGAGCATAATATTTAATCAAAATATATAAAAGTAAATATTAATAACGATAACTATAAAGCTGGGAGAAACTTTCGTTTTTCCTTTTGGGCCACCCTGCCTCGGTGGGATACGGCCGGTGTGTTGAAAGAAAGAAGAAGAAACTATAAAGCTGCATGGGATGCAACCTCATTACTAATAAAAAAATTTCTCACAGTGGTCATAAGACATTAAACAAGAAATAATATAATACTGTATTATAGTTCTGATAGACACAATTCCCTCATTTCTAAGGGTAAACACACAGGTTAACTTCCCTAACATAAACAGACATGAGCACATCAACACTTACTACACTTAAATATATAATCCTCTGTAAGCAAGCAGGAAACAAAGTTTGGTAACTAACCTTTTGGTAGTCTTTGATAGCCAATTCTTTCTTCCCTAGGTTAACTCGTGATGTTGCTCTTCGCAAATAGGCCTTTATATAACCAGCATCAAGTTTCAAACACTTATTGCAATCTGCTTCTGCAGCTGTGTATCTAAAATAAAAATATTTACATACATTAAAATGTAAGCTAAGTTTAGAACATAAAGAAAAAAGAAATTACTGTACCTTAAAATCCCTAAGTACAGTATACAATGACATCACTTTTCTAACACATTACATACATTCAAACTTGACTGAATATTCTTTATTAATCTGTAGACCTCATGATATGTTAGGGTTATTTCAAGAGCTAGTTTTGGGTCTTCTCATCATATTAGTAACCTGCTTTGAGGAAAATGATTACACTGAAAATATAATAATTGTCTTTTATGTATGAGGAAATTTACACTCATCTTCCAGAGGAAGCTTGACATTTTTTCAAAATATACCTTATAAACAGGTATTTGGCATCTACATCAGAATCTGAGCAGCAAGCACCAAGAATCAAGTTACATCAATCATGAGGCAAGACACTAGAACATTGAGGAACACTTCAGTGTATATTCAATTTAATTACACACCATCACTTACAAAACAGTGATTATGTATGAATGATGGTGAAAGTGTTGAATGATGATGAAAGTATTTTTCTTTCTTTTTGGGCTTTTCTTCATTTCTGGGTCACCCTGCCTCGGTGGGAAACGACCGGTGTGTTTATAAAAAAAAACTTACAAAACCCACAAAATTCAGGAACCCCACACATCTCAAATGCTCAGTGATATGTTAAGTGCATGATGACATGTTTATTACATAATGATAAACTGAAATAACAACACATCTAACAGTTATAAGGTTCATTCTAAACACTCAGGGATGACAGCATTGCCCTGCATTTTATACACACAGTTATCCCAGACAACATTAAGCTTAGCTCCTGTGGGTGTCACATGAAATCATATGGACAACAGTGTTGAAAGCTTACTTCTTTAATTTGATATATGCCATAGCTCTGTTTGCTGGAAGCACAGCATTGGTGGGGTCGAGAGCCATCCCTTGAGTGTACTTGGCTATTGCATTATCCAGCTGCCCACTACTGTAGAACTTGTTTCCCTGAAAATATAAAACTGATAACAATCAAAATAAAGCAATAAGAAGACATTTTTGACGTATACCATTTCTTAACTGATTAGGTGGACTTCAGCTCTGGAGGTGGGAAGTGGAGCACATGAACTCTGAAGGTTGTAGGGATGTACAAGAATAGTATACATGACCTTCTTCATGGCTACGACAACTACTACTACAATTAACCCATCTCTTTGGGTAGGACCTACTTCCACTGAGAAATCCTCCCTACCAGTGACTATGCTCTCGTCTGCTACACGTCCTCTTTCCACCTGACGTTAGTATATAAGCGCCAGGATCTTTGCCTCTGCGACTACGGTGCTCTTCGTACCAGCTCCAAGGCTGAGGGACTGATTACCTCATCATCTGTTTTTAGTTCTACTGTCTTCAAATTATGTCCAGGAATTTGTACTGATAAAGCCACTGGATGGCAAAACGTCTGCAATAAAGTTATCCAAATGTTGCACATGTGTTGTAGGGATACAACACTGACAATGCCACAACTTTCCTCTGCCTGTCGTCACATTGCATACCTGAGAGGAAGCGCCTTGTGAGCACAACCATGCTGTTACATGTGTTAATTAATATTCTTTGGTCGAACACACCTAAAGTGATGCTAACTGGCCTGCCAATCATTATGAAAGGATCCAAGTCGAGTCTGGACCCCAACTAGCGTCAGTAGCAGACATGGATATGAACAGGTATGTTCCAATCAGAGGGAAAAAGCTTCATGTTTTACCTGTGCTTGTTCATTACTGCTACTTTAATCTTTATTTGGATACTCAATCTTACCATATTGCTCTGACTGTGCAAGCATATGGATTACAAACAACTACAGCATACAAGTGGCAAGTTGCTGTCAATATTGTAAGACAATATATGACTGAGTTTCATATTACCACCCTTTGACTGTACCACCATGCAGTACTGTAGTACCTGTACACATCCCAGTACACATTATCCTGCTGAGGACCATAATACTGGTCAAAACTATTTGATCATGTTACTAACCACTGTGTAGCCAATCACGAAAAAATTTTTGATGCAAGTATACACATATCAGCATATGCACATCAGTAAACACATATCTTTTGTTTTATGGTCATCCCCACTCTCAATATTATTTCTAAAAACAAAATCTTAATTTTACATAATTTTTTATTTCACTTTATCTGTAAGAGAAGCTACAGTCCAAGAAAGGATTAACTAAGTGGTTAATATGATTTAACTCAAGACACTCAATAAAAATAAAAAACTGCAGGCACCACAACCTATCCTGTCAAGAAGAAATTCAAGTACACCACACAGAGTATCACTCACCGCTTCCTTCAGTGCCAGGGCTCGTTCCTTCTTATTGGTTTTAGGGTACTTGGTTTCCATGTGTTTTTTATCCGATTGCCTCTCTATTTCCTCTTCCTCTTCAGAGGAAGATGCCAGTGCTGTGTCCTGAAAATATAAGAAATAACTGAGTCACATATTCTCTGTATCTATCAAGAGTATAGTAAATACTGATCCAACTATGTTACAAATTTAACAAGGGGTAAAAAATGAACTACATCTTTAAAAAAAAAAAATAATCTGTCTATAAAGTCAGAAATCTCTGAAAGCTGAAAAACAAAATTCTGAATCTGGAAAAATGTCCAAAAGCCAGAATTTTCCTATTAAGAGAAAAAACTCTATAACCGTAATTGGGCAAATTCCTTTAAATCTGATTTTGTATCCAAGTATAACAAGTCTTCTGCAAGTGTCAAGTTATAGGCAATCCTTTACTTGAGACTATAGAACATGAGCTTTGCAACTGGGGGTTCCCAAAACCATGAACCAATATTCTCATGATTCTTATTCCAAAACACAGTCACCAAAATGTGTTTTGACCAATATCTCTTACTAGCTGCCTGTGTACAACATTTGAGAGGATGGCTCGAAGTTGTGTTATGCATAAAATCAAACAAAGTCTGTTTTCCCTGGCTACATGGTTTCATGCATGGAGGGTGTGTGCAGCATTTCATGAACTCCTTTCTCATCCTGCACACTGACAGTTCCTGTACCACCTTCCTTGATCTCAAAGCTGCATCTGAATTTGTCAACCAACATGCAGTTCTCGTCATTAAAGTATGCTGGGTAGAAGGCACTTAATGTAATTTAATGTTCAAAGTAATACCCTACCATCGCACACTTGTCTATGAGACAAAAAGTTATACTAGCTAGAAACTCAAAGTGGGATGTCTCAGGATTCCTTATGGCTACTGACAGCATCCTAAGTACCATCTGGACTTGTGTAATAGATGGTTATACATCCATGGTTCCTCTGCACTGTATGGTCTTGAGGACTGAGTTTCTCGGACATTTTTGGCAACTGACAAATTAATATGGGCAGAAGTAAGTGGCTGACACAAGAGATAATTGCAGAGATCATTCCACTGCATAAGGCAATTCAGGAAATGAAAGAAATAGAAGCCAACAATGCATGTGAGTGTCCAGTGGGGACCTGATTTGGTCGGTTTCTTGAGGACAGTATTCATGATACGCCTACACCTAAAGCATGTCCAGAAAATCCTAGAAAAATGTTCCCACTAACATTAATTATAACAACATGACTAGAATTGTCTGTTTTCATTTCCCCGAATCTTTCACTTAGTGTGGTGCATGGGTTTTATGCAAAACCACATGCTAGATTCATGTCAGAACCTGGGGTTGAGTATCTTGGCCCAGAAAACAATCCAGTTGTATGATGGGTTTTGGCTTGAATATGTGACCAAATGCAGATATAAGAAACAAGAGGTCCCTAGTGTTTTGTGTCACTATTACAGAGAGGCTGAGGTATGGTGTTAATGCAAAAATTGTGTTATATACTATGTAAAAACTATGTACTAAATACATACTATGTAACAACCACGTACTATATACTATGTAAAAAACTACGTACAGCCCTTATATTAAACGGATTTATTTGGCACGTTTTGGTTATTGCACTATTGAAAAATTGCAGCATAGTTTTATACAACACTTTGTAAGATTAACTTAACACGGTTCAGTTTGCGGGAGGGGAAATAAATTTGGAGCGTCGCTGGCATGATATTTCCCTAGCTCAGGCTGCCGCCTTGCTGTGGGTGAGACCACTGTCTCTACGGGGGAGACATACCACCATCCCTTGTTACCCCCATCCCATTGCAGCCTTCCATTCATGTGTGTCTAGGAGCTAGCTGTGTTTGGATTATGTTCTGATATTTTAATTGCCATATCTTGTATCTGTCAAGCAATCATGGCACCCAGTAGGCACACAAGTATTGCTGAAAGTGACAAGAAAAGGGTTAAGTGTTTAAGTCTTGGAGTTATTGTGCGATGAATAACTAACTGACTTACTTGACTGACTTGCTTAATTAACTTGACTTACTTGATTGACTTACTGAATGACTGACTAACTAGACTGATTTACTGACTGACTTGGCTGATTTACTGACTGACTTGACTTACTGACTGCCTAAACTTACTGATTGACTTGACTTACTGACTGCCTAAACTTACTGACTGACTTGACTTACTGACTGCCTAAACTTACTGGCTGACTTGACTTACTGATTTACCGATTTAAAGTTAGACTTTTTCACTGAAGAGGACCCTTACAAATCTAGAAGCAGTGCTCTGAAGCTGTGACTAGAGCAGTTGATGCCTTACCATCAGCTGTATCATGTACTGCAGGGTAAAACAGCCCATAAATCCATTACAGAATTTATGTACACACCAGTACAAACGTCAACTTCAGTACCAGAACCTCTACCATCCACCTCAGCCCAGTAGGACCACAACATAACTCTCCACTCTCTTCACAGTCATCGACAAACACCAGCACCCACAATTTTAGGTAAGAAATACTATTATTTCTATTGCCTTTGTAGTTTTAAGCAGTAAAAACAACATAATAAATCACAACATTGAACAACAATTACATATTCACTTTTATTTTTGTAAGATCTGGAGGTCTAGAAAAAGTTGTTTGGTTTTTTGGGGTCTGCAAGGAATGTAACCCTATTTTTCCCATAAGTTCTTCAATTTATCTAACATGGATTTTATCTAACACAGTATTTTCAGGAACGTAACTACTGTGTAATATAAGTGTCTACTGTATGTAAAAACTATGTATTATATAATATGTAAAAACTATGTATTATATAATGTAAAAACTATGTATTATATAATATGTAAAAACTATATACTGTACTATATAATATGTAAAAACTACATACTATATATTACATAAAAACTATGTACTATACATTATGTAAAAACTATGTACAGGCAGGCTCCACTTTGCAGTGTTTCACTTTACAGAATTTCCCTTACACAGCAGTTTTCAATTATACCCACTCTTCATTTTTTCAGACTTCCTACAATAAATATATTCAAGACTCACTATAAGTTAAGTAAGTAAGTAAGTAAGTTTATTCAGGTATACACAAATACAGTTACATAGAATTATCATACATAGCAGCATATGTGTAGAGAACCTAGGATAACCCAAAAAAGTCAGACAGAGTGACTTATTTCCATTGGGGTCCTTTTACCTTATTATTATAGTATAAAGGTTATAATATTTTCTTATTGTTCTACAATGAAGATAACATCTTATTATCATACTAAAAAGACTATCTGCGACACCAAGGTCATTAAGACTATCTACAATACGAGGGTCATTACAAGGAATAAGGTAAAATTTACACATATGTTAGCTAAAAAATAGAAAATCATTCCCCTCCCTTTCTGTAGCTACATTCATCAGACACCTTTTGGCACTCTTCTTGAACTGGTTCACGCTATGACTGGCTTTGACATGTGCGGGTAGTCTGTTCCATTCCTTTATTGCTGTACAATAAAAGGTGTTTGAAGCCTGGCCACTGACTGTGGGTACTACAAAGTTGTGCTCTCTCCCCCTAGTTCTATGATTGCTTTGGTTCCCAGCCTTGACAAAATTGACAGCAAGATATTCTGGACATTGCTTGTGAGCAATTTTATAAACATGATTTAGCTTCAGTTGTTTTACTCTGTCTTCAACATTCAGCATATCCAACTGCTGTAATTCATCCTGGCCTACATGTTCTCTTGGTCCCAGCCCCAGGATGAATCTTACGATTTTGTTCTGGGTGATTTGCAGTCTATCTTTCAGTTTTTTTGTCAAGGCAGAGTACCAAGAAGAGCAAGCGTAATCCATATGGCATTGTATAAGGGCTAGACATAGGGTCCTGCGAGCCTCAGTAGGTAGACACTGTGCTTGTCTATACAGGAACTTCAGTCTGGCATTCGCTTTCTTTACTACACTGTTCCCTATCAATTCTCCTGACATGCATGGGTCAAAGGGGATTCCCAAATATTTTACTGATGAAACCAAAGTGATGGGCTCCCCATTACATTGAACATTAAAATTATTTACCCTTCTCAGTTTATGTTTCGTGCCAAAGAGAATGGCTTCAGTTTTCCCTAGGTGTAAGGATGAAAATATTTTAAGGAAAGTAATGTGTGTACAGCATATGCATTTTTTAGGCCTAGGTATACTGTTCACTTAACCCTTAAATGGTCCAAATGTATATATACATTTTTTCAACATCTGAAAGTATGTAAAAAATGTAGATCTTCTTTTTTGTTTACATTTGAAAACGTGTAAAAAAAACTTTTATCTACTTTTTTTTTTTATATTTGAAAATATGTAAAAAAAAGTAGATCTGCTTTTGTAGCAATACAAATTTGAACGTCGATTTGTTTGGACCGTTTAAGGGTTAATATATAATAATAATAATAATAATAATAATAATAATAATAAATAATAATAATAATAATAATAATTTTATTAGGTAGTAGGTTGGTAGACAGTAACCGCCCAGAGAGGTACTACCACCCTGCCAAGCAAGTGTAAAACAAAAGCTTGTAATTGTTTTACATGATGGTAGAACTGCTGATGTCTTGTGTATGTCTCATAAACATGCAAGATTTCAGGTACGTCTTGCTACTTCTACTTATACTTAGGTCACACTACACATACATGTACAAGCATATATATACACACCCCTCTGGGTTTTCTTCTATTTTCTTTCTAGTTCTTGTTCTTGTTTATTTCCTCTTATCTCCATGGGGAAGTGGAACAGAATTCTTCCTCCATAAGCCATGCATGTTGTAAGAGGCGACTAAAATGCTGGGAGCAAGGAGCTAGTAACCCCTTCTCCTGTATAAATTACTAAATTTAAAAAGAGAAACCTTTGTTTTTCTTTTTGGGTCACCCCGCCTCGGTGGGATACGGCCAATGTGTTGAAAGAAAGAATAAAAATAATAATATATTTATTTCTACAAGTACATGCACAAGGTATACAGGCCTAGCTGACATCAATGAAATACGTACAGTGGACCCCCACCTTACGATGTTAATCCGTTCCTGAGAGCTTATCATATGCTGAAATTATTGTAAGGCGAATTAATTTTCCCCATAAGAAATAATGGAAATCAAATTAATCCGTGCAAGACACCCCAAAGTATGAAAAAAAAAAATTTTACCACATGAAATATTAATTTTAATACACACAAACTGAAGAAAAGATGCACAGTTAATTCTCTAAGAATAGAATACATAACGCTTACCTTTATTGAAGCTCTGGTGATGATTGATGGGATGGGAGGAGGGGAGAGTGTGGAAGTTGTTATTGTTTAGAAGGGGAATCCCCTTCCATTAGGACTTGAGGTATCAAGTCCTTTTCCGGGGTTACTTCCCTTCTTCTTTTAATGCCACTAGGACCAGCTTGAGAGTCACTGGACCTCTGTTGCACAACATATCTATCCACAGAGCTCTGTACCTTTCGTTCCTTTATGATTTGTCTAAAGTGGTTCACAACATTGTCATTGTAATAGTAACCAGCACGGCTTGCAATAGCTGTGTGAGGGTGATTTTCATCCACAAAGGTTTGCAGTTCAACCCACTTTGCACACGTTTCCTTAATCTCTTTTTTCAGTTCCATACTAATTCTCACCCTTTTTACCACAGGGATGGCACTAGAAGCTTTTTTGGGGTCCATGGTGACTTACTTTGCAGTTACAAGCCCTAAAAACACTGCGATAATGTGAAATGTACTGAATGTATGCGTAGATGCGACCGCACTGGCTGGCTTGTAAATGCTGGCGCTGAGGCCACATGTGGGACCCGTCCTGGACGAATCACATAAGGCGAGTTTTTTAGCGCGAGGCGAGGCAAAATTTTTGCGTTAAAATGTATCGTATGGCGGGTTTAACGTAACGTGATGCCATCGTAAGGCAGGGGTCCACTGTACTACTACACAGAAACCCGCTTGTTGTGCCAAGCATTTCTGGCAAATTAGGTCAGTTTTGTCCTAGGGTGTGACCCACACCAGTCGACTAACACCCAGGTACCCATTTTTACTGATGGGTGAACATGGACAACTGGTGTAAGGAAACATGCCCAATGTTTTTACCCTTGTTGAGAATTGAACCTAGACCCTCAGCATGTGAAGTGAAAGCTTTTGCCAAAACGCCATGTTATCAGGCTTTTATATGCATCTGAAAGTGAACAAAAGGCAATGATTCACTTTATAGTGACTTTAGTTTTACAGCAGTAGCCCGGAACTTAACCTGCTGTATAAGCAGGGCCCTCCTCTACTGTACTATGTAAAAATTATGTACATACCATATTTTGCTTATATTAGATTACTAGTTGATTATGATACACCTCTACTTTTGTGTAAGACAGAAAGGTTGGAGGGCTTAAAAAATTGAAGAATGAACCATTGTCCCATAGCTCGATCACTAGCGCACTCAGCTCACACACTGAGGTCCAGAGTTTGAATCTCTGGTATGGCTGGAAAACATTATGTGTTTCCATAAGACACCTGCAGTTCCTGTTCACCCATCAGTATAAAATGGGTACCTGGGTGTTAGTCGACTGGTGTGGGTCGCATCCTGGGACAAAACTGACCTAATTTGCTCAAAATGCAAAATGCTCAGCAAAACTAGCAGCTTTCTATATAGTAGTATGTCATTAATGTCAGCTAGGCCTGTATACCTTGTACATGTACTTATAGAAATTAAGATATTATATTATTATTATTAATGAGGCTCATCCTAGGATGTTCACATACCCCGAAAATATTAAACATTCCAAGAATTAGAAATCGTGTCACTAAAAGAAATATACTTAATGGAGTTAACATGTTCAATCAAACCCACCAAAACAAATGCATAAAAGCTCTCTAAACTGTTTTCAGGTAAGACCTCCTCCAGATGGATCATACAAGCTGGAAATGACCTCAAATGACTTGGCTATATGATATACAGCAGAATGTCAAGCAGGGCAACAGCAACACTTCCCTGCATCATGGGAAATTACCATACATCTTTTAAACTCATTATCCTTCACTTTTCCCCCAAGCAACCTTATTAGATCACAGTGACAGCTTCATCTTGAAGCTTAGCTTGATGCCTCAAGTTACATCGATGCCTTAGTAACACAGCATTCTCTTTCATAAATTGTGTTGATTGTGTCCATAAATTGTGTTGATTTTGAAGCCAGTAATGCTGCTGTTGTCAGAGTAATGACTTTTATATAGAATTGAAGCACATAGGAATTGGGCTTCCACCCTTCAAATTGAACTGTTTGCTATAGTCCTTACACTCCAATGTGTCCATGTATCTAAAACTGACACCTTAATTGCAAGTTATTCTCTGTCATACATAGAGACTCTTAACTCCATGTGTCAATTGTGACATGCTTATGCCAGAAATAAGACACAAGTCTTCAAGATCACGATAAAACTGATGAATTGGCAAAGGAATATAACTTCAAGGAAAAAGTAGACTACAGCTTTGGGCCATCCACTGGTAGTTTGAGGATTATACAAAAAATACTTCAAGTGAACTTCACTGATTCAAGATAGAGGGAGACTGACACAAGTCAGTCCAACTATCATTCTATTGCACAGGAAGAGTCACATGACACTTCTAAAAACCAGCAATTCTTGGATATTATTACTGCTCTGCTTCAGCTGGGCAATGAGTAGCTCTAGGTCTGAGAGTTTGCACCAACACCTGCTTTACACCTAACTGAATGTAAACTTTGCAAGGAAAACTATTTAATTGTCACACCTTGAATCATTAAATACTTCAATGCAAAAAATATCCTTAATCCAGAGAACTCACAAATATTCAACAGTTGCATGTTACCAGCAATTCTAGAAAAATACTCAAAATTTGCCTATTGTAAATAACCCAAATCACTGTAATTTCCCAACATACAATAATAATTTATTAAATATTGGGTATTATAAAGAATTCTAAATTTAATATGAGCTGCATTGTAGTGTCCATGTAACAATATGACTGAAAAAAACTCATTATGTCTTTAAAATAAGGATACTTGAGTATTACACATTTCTAATTCACCAAACAACTCACTGGTATTATTTCTGAATCAATGTGTGAATACTTAAGGTCATTACTACTTTAGCTTGCTGAGCTAAGAAAAAAGTTGGTACTCAGTCCATGGCTTTATACTCAAGATGGGTAGGGGAATATAACAACATTTTCAGACTAAAATAGACTAGCTCCTGCAAGTATACTTACTAGATTAGCAAGCTTCTTCACCATAAAAGCCTATAACATTCAATGTAAAAAACTGGAATAAAGTAAGGCACAATAAAATTTGTGTTATCTTACCACATCAAATTTTTCCCAGGCAGCATAGTCACATGTTGATATTTTTTTAGGTTTTTCTATATTTTTCCCTTCATCTTTTGTTTTTCTGTTATTGCTAGGCATGGTTCCAGTGGTTTCTTTGCCTGAGGAAATTTCTAACGTCTTCTTGCACCGCACAGGATGACAGGTCTAGAAAAAGAAACTCAGGGTTAAAATGCACAAATCTTTATTATATTAAACATGCACTAAACCTGTATGGCTGCAAATTTTTAGTGCAATAGTGTAACACCACAGTTAAGGCTGAACTAAAAAAAAAAATCTACACCTAGATAACAAAATTCACTCTTCATACTGATAAAACATTCTATTTTATACAACTTTTAGGAATAAATCATGTTCACAATTAGACATCAAAATTAATGAATCCCAAGTAGAGAAAAATTGAGGGGAATTTCCTGGGTCTGCTCAAAGATAAATTATAATTTAATGTTCATATAAAACTTAAGTTAAAAACTGTATCAAAAACTGTTGACACTTAAAAATTTGATGTTATGTTCCCAATATAAACTAATAACGTTGTACTTCTCTCCTTTATCCATACCTCACCTGTAGAATTTTTGTCTGGGGCCTCTACCTCAGCTATCCACCTCAAACCAATTATCCCACAACAAAACAGAAGTTATCAGAACTATCACAGTGAAAATGCTCAATAAAGAGGGAATGCATGGTTACAGAAGACACACATGATGCATTAGACTAGTGGTTGAAGCAACCTTCGAGGTCAGTCAATTGTCATATTGGGGTCTACAAGGAATGCCATTACTGCTAACGACCCAGGAGAGGCTTAGAGAGTTTAATATGAAAATATAGAGGAGGACTGCATCCTTGAGGAAAACTTATTTTAATGAGGGAGGAAGCAGTATATGGGTAAGAGTCATATAGTGTATGGAGAATGGAAGGCAATCAAGTTCAATCCAAGGAAAGGCAGGATAAATATAGTTTCACTGAGCAAGAGCCCCTCACTGGCATCAAGACTGAAAAGGAAAAAAACTTCACAGGATTGCCATGAGCAGCACTGATCTCCAGCACAGCCTGTAGTGCTGCCTTTCCTGGTAACCACCATGCGCCCTACCCAAGTGTGCACCACCCACATTGGACTTTTCAGAGCAGACTGAGCAAGATTTAAAAAACCACCTGTTTAGCCAGAACAGTGACAGAAATAAAATAATTCAACTAATTATGGCAGCAAGCAAACTGGACAGAATTTCATGAATTGCATATCTTCAGTTATTATTCTTGGAATTTGCAAGCAATCTTCTATTAGTACTTCCCATCAGCAGGTCTGCCAGGCAGCCACCTGATGTTCCTGACACATTTCAGAGATGATCCAGTTTCCTTTGGATGAAGAGACATGACTACCATACAGTATACACTGGAGTGCGGGACCACAATCAGAATTAACACTAAAATAGAGTAGGGAAAGAATGTGAACCCCTCATAGTGAACTCTTCATGGAGGAGATAAAACCACCTCAATGAGTGGAAATTTATGATAGGAAAAAAATAATACTATGAATGAAGGAAGAAAATGAAATGGGTGTGAGGCATTCAACTTGATACGGTATATCACAGCATTAATACTATTATTATTACATTCGTGAAAGGAAACACCCCTGGGGGAACTTGAAGGGGCCCGCTCAGGTTTCTATGAAGGGAAACAAAATTGAAACTGAAAATTTATGGAAAACAAGGTTTTCTTACCAAAAAATAGTGCATAATTCTGGCAACATGTTGATGCAATCAACTTGATTCTATCATGTTTCTAAGTAAGTTTTTCCAAAAATGTAATTTTTTTGTTTTTGCTGTCATCAAGAGGACATGTTGATATAATTACCAACATGTCCTCTTGATGACAGCAAAAACAAAAAAATTACATCTTTTTTTTACTCCAAAAATCACGATTTTTATGATTGTTTCATTCTAAATACACAACATGGCAACTTCAGTGAGGACTTAAGTGAAGAGCACGGAGCGTTGTTGCTCAATAGCCCGAGAGCTGTCAACAAAGATAGGGGAATGCAACACACTCAGATGTGGCAGCAAAGAGTTTTATAGAAAACAAAAATCTGAATAACTCAGGAATAAGTTATTGACATTTGTTTTCAGTTTTTGCAAAGAGTATTAGTAGGAATGTCATGATTTTTTCACACATTATTGAGGAATAATGGTTCTATTCAATTTCAGAGTTGATTTGTAATATGTTTTACCATTTTGTTTTTATTGAATTTTATTCTCCCCAAAATTCCTTAAAAAACACAAATTTCAACATTAAGATGACTTAGCTCTTTATCTTTCATCTGATGTTGACTAGAACATTGTACTTCTTACCAATTTTGTAGGCCAGGGAGGGTTTTTATGCCATATACAATTTTACATTATCTCACAATTTTACAACATTAGTCAATACAAACACAGTGTGTAGGTCGCAAAATGCTAGTTAAATCACAGTATAAAATTTCACTGAAGTTGGACCAAAAACAAAAACAAAAAACTTTAAACATGTCCAGGCCCCTGAAGGATACCTTTAGGATGTTTTCTGGAATTATTGCCTGCCCAGTCCAGTCCCAGACTAGGTCTCCAAGGCAATTAAGTTTGAGCCAAGGAAAGGGAAGAAAAAGCCCAATTCCTTTGATTTAAGAATCCCTCACTGGTATCAAAATATCTCTCGAGAGAACTTCAAAGAATATTGGTGGCCGTGGCCTGGTGGCTAAAGCTCTTGCTTCACACACGGAGGGCTCGGGTTCGATTCCCGGCGGATGGAAGCATTTCGACACGTTTCCTTATACTTGTTGTCCTGTTCACCTAGCAGCAAATAGGTACCTGGGTGTTAGTCGACTGGTGTGGGTCGCATCCTGGGGGAAAAGATTGAGGACCCCAATAGAAATAAGTTAAGAGTCCTCGATGACGCACTGACTTTCTTGGGTTATCCTGGGTGGCTAACCCTCCGGGGTTAAAAATCCGAACGAAATCTTATCTAATCCTATCTTAATGAGGGATGTTACCTCAGGAGAGTGACAGTCCTCCCTCGCCTGGTTACACAGCTTCTCGTCTACAACCTTCATCTCTCGTTCCCAGTCGTTCAGACCTTCCAGGAAGTCCTTAAGAGCCTCTGAATTTTCCTTTATGTTTCGCTGCATCATTAAAGAGGAGTTGTGTGTGGTGTCCATAGTTACGTCGCCTCTAGAAAACTCGTCTTGTTGATGGTGGGTTATTAAGGGCCACCAAAGACTTCCATTATTGAGCAATGTTTTCCCAGTGTCCGCAAAAAAAATATTGCCCAAATATGAATAAGTAAGTTTGTTTAAGTACAGATACACGTAAATACAATTACACATATTATAAAACATAATAACATTGGTATAAATTACCTAGCATAACCCCCAAGAAAGTCAGACTTATTTCCTTGGCACACGCCTCGACCCACAGACCATCCGCATCGGTGTTGCCCTTCGACTTGCCGCCCCTATTCTCGCCGAACACAGGTGTATTTGTGACAGTGAAGCAGCAGACCGATTCGGGTACCATGGTCTTGTGTGCCGTAAATCCGAGGGAAAGATTGCAAGTCATGAGGAGGTTAATAACATTATCAAGAGGAGCCTCACAACAGCCGGATGCCCAGCAGTAAGGGAGCTGCCCCAGCTATGCAGATCTGATGGCAGCCAGAAGCGTCCAGATGGTATCACACTTCAAGCCTGGACAGACTGTAAGCAGGTGGTGTGGGATTGCACATGTGCATCTATCTTGGCTGATACCTATCTCCAATACACCAGGGAGGAAGGAGGGGCAGCCACCAGCTTCAGGGAGTCCCAAAAATCTAGAAACTATGGAGAACTTGCCCATCATTATATGTTTGTTCCCATATGCTCAGAGACTCTTGGCTCATGGGGAAAGAGTGCATCTAAGTTCCTTAAGGAGCTGGGAAAAAGACTCATCAGGGTAACTAGAGATCCCAGGGCAGCTAGTTTTCTGTTCCAGCGACTCAGCGCTTCTGTTCAGAGGGGTAATGCCTGCTGTCTTTTGGGCACGCGCCCCAGCTCTGAAGAGCTGGATGAGATTTTCGCATTATTATTTGGAGTTACCTGGAGAGAGTTCCGGGGGTCAACGCCCCCGCGGCCCGGTCTGTGACCAGGCCTCCTGGTGGATCAGAGCCTGATCAACCAGGCTGTTACTGCTGGCTGCACGCAAACCAACGTACGAGCCACAGCCCGGCTGGTCAGTGACAAACATTTAACAATATGTACTAGACATTTATCTCTCACATCTCATGTAGTGTATATGCCGTCTTTATATCAACAATGTATCTCTTGAACCTTTTGTACCATATTATGTAATAAAATATACCTATTGGTAAAAAAAGAATGAAAAGATGGGGTGGTAAGGGAAGTGGAATATTCAAACGGCTTCAGGAAGAAATCCAAATATTCTTCCTTGAAGCCTTTTTATCCACTTCTCCGAGGCTGTGGGTCCCACAATTTACACCAGAGGTGGACCCCTCTATATACCTGGAGACCTGGAGTTTACCTGGAGAGAGTTTCGGGGGTCAACGCCCCCGCGGCCCGGTCTGTGACCAGGCCTCCTGGTGGATCAGCGCCTGATCAACCAGGCTGTTGCTGCTGGCTGCACGCAAACCAACGTACGAGCCACAGCCCGGCTGATCAGGAACTGACTTTAGGTGCTTGTCCAGTGCCAGCTTGAAGACTGCCAGGGGTCTGTTGGTAATCCCCCTTATGTGTGCTGGGAGGCAGTTGAACAGTCTCGGGCCCCTGACACTTATTGTATGGTCTCTTAACGTGCTAGTGACACCCCTGCTTTTCATTGGGGGGATGGTGCATCGTCTGCTAAGTCTTTTGCTTTCGTAGTGAGTGATTTTCGTGTGCAAGTTCGGTACTAGTCCGTCTAGGATTTTCCAGGTGTATATAATCATGTATCTCTCCCTCCTGCGTTCCAGGGAATACAGGTTTAGAAACCTCAAGCGCTCCCAGTAATTGAGGTGTTTTATCTCCGTTATGCGCGCCGTGAAAGTTCTCTGTACATTTTCTAGGTCGGCAATTTCACCTGCCTTGAAAGGTGCTGTTAGAGTGCAGCAATATTCCAGCCTAGATAGAACAAGTGACCTGAAGAGTGTCATCATGGGCTTGGCCTCCTAGTTTTGAAGGTTCTCATTATCCATCCTGTCATTTTTCTAGCAGATGCGATTGATACAATGTTATGGTCCTTGAAGGTGAGATCCTCCGACATAATCACTCCCAGGTCTTTGACGTTGGTGTTTCGCTCTATTTTGTGGCCAGAATTTGTTTTGTACTCTGATGAAGATTTAATTTCCTCATGTTTACCATATCTGAGTAATTGAATTTTCTCATCGTTGAACTTCATATTGTTTTCTGCAGCCCACTGAAAGATTTGGTTGATGTCCGCCTGGAGCCTTGCAGTGTCTGCAATGGAAGACACTGTCATGCAGATTCGGGTGTCATCTGCAAAGGAAGACACGGTGCTGTGGCTGACATCCTTGTCTATGTCGGATATGAGGATGAGGAACAAGATGGGAGCTAGTACTGTGCCTTGTGGAACAGAGCTTTTCACCGTAGCTGCCTCGGACTTTACTCTGTTGACGACTACTCTCTGTGTTCTGTTAGTGAGGAAATTATAGATCCATCGACCGACTTTTCCTGTTATTCCTTTAGCGCGCATTTTGTGCGCTATTACGCCATGGTCAAAACTTGTCGAAGGCTTTTGCAAAGTCTGTATTATATTACATCTGCATTCTTTTTGTCTTCTAGTGCATTTAGGACCTTGCCCGTAGTGATCCAGTAGTTGAGACAGAACAGGAGCGAACCTGTTCTAAACCCATGTTGCCGGGTTGTGTAACTGTGGGTTTCTAGTGGGTGGTGATCTTGTTTCTTAGGACCCTTTCAAAGATTTTTTATGATGGGATGTTAGTGTATGGTCTGTAGTTCTTTGCTGTGCTTACTGCCCCCTTTGTGGAGTGGGGCTATGTTGTTGTTTTTAGTAACTGAGGGACGACCCCGTGCCCAAATGCTCCCTCTCCATAGGATGGAAAAGGCTCGTGATAGGGCTTCTTGCAGTTCTTGATGAACACAGAGTTCCCTGAGTCTGGCCCTGGGGCAGAGTGCATGGGCATGTCATTTATCGCCTGTTCGAAGTCATTTGGCGTCAGGATAACATCGGATAGGCTTGTTTTTAATCAAATTTTGTGGCTCTCTCATAAAAAATTTTATTTTGATCTTCGACTCTCAGTCTGGTTGCGGCTTGCTAAAAAACTGAGTCATATTGGGACTTGAGTAGCTCACTCATTTCCTTGTTGTCATCTGTGTAGGACCCATCTTGTTTAAGTAGGGGCCCAATACTGGACGTTGTTCTCGATTTTGATTTGGCATAGTAGAAGAAATACTTTGGGTTTCTTTCGATTTCATTTTTGGCTTTTAGTTCTTCCCGCGATTCCTGACTCCTAAAGGATTCTTTTAGCTTAAGTTCGATGCTTGCTATTTCTCCCGACCAGTGTCTCCCTGCGCATTTCAGATATATTGACCTCTTTTAGCCGCTCTGTTATTCTTTTCCGTCGCCTGTAAAGGGAGCGCTTGTCTCTTTCTATTTTACATCTACTCCTCCTTTTTCTTAGAGGAATAAGCCTTGTGCATACATCGAGTGCCACCGAGTTAAAATTCTGTTTAGGCATAAGTTTGGGTCTGTGTTGCTTAGTATATCTTCCCGCTTTATATCGGTTAGGACTTGGTTTACTTGGTCCCACTTTATGTTTTTGTTTTTGGGAAGTTGAATTTGGGGGAATGCTCCCTCGTGACTAGTCTCATTTTGTCGGTCTGGGGCTCCACGCATACATGTCTGAACCTCAATTATGTTGTGATCTGAGTATATTGTTTTTGATATGGTGACATTTCTTATCAGATCATCATTGGTTAGTGAAGATGAGGTCTAGTGTATTCTCCAGTCTAGTAGGCTCTAAATTTTTTGCTGGTTTTAAATTGAATTTTGGCAGAGATTTAAAAGCTCGTGTGAGTGTGAGTTTTCATCAGAGCTGCCTCCTGGTGTTATTACTGCAACAATATTATTTGCTATATTCCTCCATTTTAGGTGCCTTAAGTTGAAATCCCCCAGGAGCAAGATGTTGGGGTGCAGGAGCTGGAAGATATATATATATATATATATTTTATATTTTATATATATATATATATATATATATATATATATATATATATATATATATATTTTATATATATATATATAAATATATAAATATTATATATATATAATATAATAAAATATATAAATATATAAATATTAAATAAATATATATATAATATATTATATATTATTTATATATATATATATATATATTATATATATATATATATATATATATATATTATATATATATGTCGTGCCCAATATGTAAAACTGGGTCAATTAGCAAGAACTCATTTAAAATTAAGTCCTTTCTAAAATTTTTCTCTTATACGTTTATAGATATATTATTTTACAATTAAAGTTGATGGGTAAAAAATTTATAATTTTGCAAAAAAGGAACTTAGATAACTTACCTATCCTTATTGTAACATGAACAATTAATTTAACTAACCCAATAAATATATTTTGATTTGTTTCATTAATTTAATACTAAACAAACACAGTGAAATATATTTTTTTCGTTAGGTTTTAGAATGATTTTGTCGAAATTATTACATACACAAATTTTCACTTGTCCTATATGCAAGATGAGAGTTGCTATTTAGGCCAAGATCGCAAATATGTTTATATGTATATATGTATTATATGTATATATGTATATATGTATATATTATATATATAATATATATATATATATATATATATATATATATATATATATATGATATATATATATTTTTTATATATATATATATATTTATATATATATATGTATTAATATAATATATATATATATTATATATTATATATATGTATTTATATATATATATATATATATATTATTATTTTTATTATCCACACTGGCGATTCCCACCAAGGCCAGGGTGGACCCGAAAAAAAAAGAAAAATCTTTCACCATCATTCACTCCAACACTGTCTTGCCAGAAGGGTGTTTACGACTACAGATTTTTAAACTGCAACATTAACACCCCTCTCAGGAGTGCAGGCACTGTAAACTTCCCATCTCCAGGACTCAAGTCCGGCCTGCCGGTTTCCCTGAATCCCTTCATAAA